CAGAGTGATGTCATCGAACCCCCCCACCCCCCCATGCGCCCCCCCCCCCCTTGAACCCATCTGATGCTGTGGCTATGGGGGCAGGTTTTTGCGTATTTAACGACCTCCTTATTTTCTTCAACTGCCGAGGATAGAAGGGCGTACTGGGCCATCGACAGTAGGGATCAGCCGTAAAATTAAGCTCACGATTCCAAACCATTTGAGGGCAGGACCACTATTCTTTTTGTTCGAGCCCGTTTTTCCTTTCAGAATTGTTTCCTGGAGATTGCTAGGCGGAGTGCTGCGGAACGCTTCATTTCCTAAATCGGACCTAACCTTTTCTCATCTCGTCCATCTTTATCGACTCTGTTGAACAGGCTAAAATTTTTTAAAATCATGTATAACTTATATGAACACCGCACCTTGTTAGTACGGTAATGCGTCGGCAAATCGGTACGGGGTTGATTTGCGTGGCGCATTCCAAAGGTGTCCACGAACAGGAGACCCTTAATTCCCCTGTATACGCTTTTTTCCACCTCGGTTGACTTTTTGCCAAGGCGATTTCGCCGATTTCAACTATATTCATTGATTAAGTATTGCTTCTCTTCTTATTACACCCATAAGCAACTTGTAAACAATGATTTGTAAACAACTAGATGAAATAGGCAGTGAGCTATGTAGTATTTGATAATTTGTGATCTCAAGAACTGTTCAACGAAATTTGCCAATGAAATATTGCGTGCATCGTCGTTATAACCACTTCAACGTCGGCCTGGCTCTTTTTTTTTAGAAGGAATACATAAAATATATAAATAGATGGAATATTTTGCAAGCACGACAGTGATATTCTATCGTTTGCAACATTTCATGTAATCTGTCTGAAAATGTGTAGCCTTCCCGACGTCATTCGCATGAACGAATTAGCTGTTTTTTGAGTTTTTGCTGAAAACCAAGGAAAAAAGTAGGCGAGAATTCGTTGAAGTAGCAAAACGCGAAGTCGTTAAGCTGTGAAATTATTGAAAAGCTGTTCCGTTGCCTTCGTAGAACAGCCAAAGCCATCACTATTCCAGCTTAGGGCAAAAAGGCTAGCAGTTTCCAAGTAGGGAGACTTCGTTAGCATATATATCTACCTCTTCGAGGTTGTCTAGGCATTCCCAATCGTTAATTTCAGCTGTTCCAAAGAATCTCGCTGAGCAAAATCCTCAAAGGTTTCGCTTCTCATCTTTGCTGTTCGTTTTCCTTTTGAGATCTGGCGCTGCATAGCTCAGGCCAGGTTTACGGCATCCTAGCATTATGAGGGGACATCATTGTAATCGGAGGTGTGAAGACAATGAATGAGAGGTCATAGGTCTTACATCCTTGAAGGATAAAGGATAAAGCCTTTGGGATTCGTCAATCCCGTGTGAGGGATGCACCATAAATTCCAACTTCTATTCAGGATCGTGGGGTGTATTGAAGGCCAATACCATGAATTGTGGTGGCAACCGGTGTACAAGTCGGTGCTTTCATTTTCCCAGACGAGTCTGGTACCAATCAACCACACCGGAGAGAAGAAAGGCTGTATTGGCTTTGATCCGGGATTCGAACCCGCTATCGTGCGTGTGAGACAGGGTGCTACTTACCACTACACCACCTCCGGCCTCATTTTCATGATTATATCTCATCTCGTTTTTAAGCTGATCTCGAAGTGTGACTCATAGCTCAATCACATCAACAGTAGTTTAAATGGATATGGTAAACACCTCAGAACCACAATTTACTGCTTTACATTATAGTAACAGCTCACGTCAGTAGGTATCAGACAACGCAGTAATTGCTTCCCTTAGCAATGTCAACGTTCCACTGAATACTTCAACACTTCCGTCTACTCTGTTCCTAAAAAGGCTACTATTGAATTCTGGATTCCCCAATGTTCATATGGTTTGTGGCTCTCGAGGTCATCACGATCGATCCTGATCGATTATTGACAGACATCTTCAGAAGAGAGCGCTTTTTTAAAGAGTTTAATAGCAAGACGAGTAGCTCGGTGACTTCCGTACTTTGTAGTGGAAGAAAACGGCTTTCATTCTTTATCTTTACCTGGTAGCTGCTGCAAACCCCTCTCATTAACCAGAAGAAAGGGATGTGTCGTTGAACTAAAAAGCAGGCTAAAGTTGTCTTCTAGTTAATTATTTAGTTAGCTATTCAGTTAATTAGCTAGTCTAATTATTTACTTACAGTGAGTCAATATATAGTTTTTATAGTTAGGGCACATGGCCTCAAGGGCATTGAGTATATCATAGTCGAGAGGTTTTTTTTTGAAGCTACTCGATACTGAGGTAATTCGATATTCTTCATCTCATATATAGCCAACAGCGGATCTGAAAAATACAACTTCATAAGCATCTCAGGGATGCGTCTTCCTCGACCCATTCCAAAATGAGGCTTATCGAACCGTTCTTGGCTGATTCCTTTACCATTTGCCTTCCCACCTATCTCATCTTTTTTCGTATTATGGAATGAAAAAATGAAAAAATAAGAAAAACGAAAAATCCCTCAGTAGCATTTTTCCATTCTCCGGTAGTTTTTCGTTGTTGCAGTTCATTTGGGAGTTGTAGAGCCTAGGGGGAAGTGAAGAAGGGAAAACGGTCTTGGGGATGCCACTGACCAGCGGTTCTGCCATTTTCAGAATCAATTTTTGGGAGGCGATAATCAGCTTTGAACAAAACGAAACAAATTGAATCAACCTCTCTTCTTTCTTTTTTTTTGGATGCTTATTGATTGGGTACAAGCTATGAAGGGGTAAATAAAAAGGTACGTGGTTAGCGATAACCAATTGGGGGAAAAAGAGTGCCTGAGACATCGTCACATCAGTTATGCTGCAAATACTTCCCACTGCACTTTAGCCACCGTCTAACTCGATATGTTTCAGGTTTCTCTCCTTCTATTAGGGGCATACCCTTGCCTTCCTCTGCGACATGGTCAGGTCCTCTTGCATACTCCCCATCTGAAGAGCATATCCAGATCTTTTTCATCTGATCTTCTCCCGAACTGTTTTTAAGTTCTTCTCGGGCTTTTTGATAAGTGAAAAGATAAAGTTACCTAAAACCTTCTTGCAAATCTCAGAAGGCTACTATGAAGTAATTAAATGCCCGCTTCTTTCCGCTTCCTTCATTTCATCCCGCGTCTTTGCCCTGAACCTTTTCAGAAATGTTCTGCGAAGTCGATGTCTCTCTGGACTTCTCTTTTCTTGACTGATTTCCTACGATTTTCTAACGACTTCCCATATCTATTCGTCTTCGTCTTCCCTTTCACAATTAATGTACTCTAAAAGGAAGCCCTTGAAAGATAAATTGGCTTGTTATATATGTTTTTTACGGCATTATTTCGTGCAGCTTCTTCATCTAGAGCTTCTACTATGTCTCGTTAATCACAGCGTCTCGTAAGGGCCATCAACCATCGTCTGGCTGAACGTTGCCCCGCTTGCCTGAAAATTACCTCTATTCCAGGAGGCAGCGGCTAAATAGAGCAGCAGCATGTCGACAGCTTCCGTAGCGCGTCTCGACCCATCCCGATTTCGATGTCTGTGCGGACTCTGCCATGTCGTGGTGAGTCTCAAATTTTATTAAAACTCTACCTGTTTACTTGTTTATGTTTCTGTAATCAAGAAGTAAACAATGTTTACTAGATAAAACCGTCTACTTCATTAAATGTCATATAATACGCGAGCAATGGGGCTCAATAATCGGCGGTTGGGTAAACAGGAAGCAAGGGAATTTTTAGCTTGGGCAATGACATTGCAGGTAGAGGTTCGAATAAGCATTTCACCCCGAAGGGATGGGGCAACGGGATCTTCTTGGAGCTGCTGAGTTAGAAGTTCCCTTTGAGATCACGGCTTGTGCCTGTCCTCGACCTCAAAAAGGACTTTTATTTCAGCTGAAGGATAATTGCTCTCCACTAAATCCTTCATTTCATTTTTCGCTATGTCTTCGCAGTTTGCTCAAAAAAGAGAGGGTTCTAAGATTTTGGCTTATTCTCCCTTCGGAACTTCGCAATAAACAACTTTTTCATCAAAAACCTTAGTTTTTATGTTTCAGACTGGAACCCAGGTGTGTCTGATATGGTACGTGGTGTGCTCGGTTTTCTCGTTGTTGTTCGGCATGCGATCCACTCTCACATGGCTAATCGTACCGATCTGTGTCGTCGTTCTTGGTGTTTATGCGATCATCAGCAAGCGGCACAAATACCTCTACCCATTCCTCATTATTACGGTAAGCGTTTGTGACAGGGAATTGTAAAAAAGGGTTGAGAAACGGTTTCGATAAGTCCTAATAACGGCCTCAAATGAGGCTAAGCCGACGTACACACCCTTCGACGGACGAGTTTTCACTGCTGAGGCTGTAGAGGTCACACTGTTTGCATCGAGACGCACACGTTGCACCCAAGCAGTTTACTATAGCCAGTTGTTTGTAATGGCACACACATTTTGACAACTCGTTCAAATACATCCCGCAACTTTCCTAATCACATTCTTGTCTAAACTCTAAATTTACTACTTTTCAAAGCCATATTTTTTCCATTTACGCGATTTTCAACGCCATTTTTGCACTACCCTGGACTATCACTTCCATTATTCGTCTGAAACCACCAGACACACCGAAATTATCTTGAACTGCGCCTTCAGACAGGAGCCAGAAGGCTTCTTACTGTGCTTTTCCCATAGTTTTATCACCCTTTGAGTGATTCGCTATGGACTGCATCTACTGTAGCCTGACCATCACTAAACCCACCAATTTGAAGTTTTATCCGGGCTCATTCTGACTTTCTGCAAAAAGTATCTTTCACCAAAAATTTTTTAAAGAAATCTGTGAGGTACACCTTTTGTTGTTAGTCCGTTGAAGTTAGCTGGCCGAAGTTAATAGTATAGCATTATTCTAATTGTTGTGGAGGAGGAGGAAGTAAAAATAAAAGTTGGATTGAGTCATTTGGCGTGGCAGCAAAAGTTTGCAGCCAAAGGCAACTAATAACTGAGCAAAGCTCTCTCGAAAGTTGTCATGGAAAAGTTGATTTGTGAAAGGGAGTATATGTTTTCGAGCATTGAAAGGCCTCAGATGAGGCCTACGTGACGTCTATATTGAACCCAACGACTTTCAGATAGTCCAACAACTTGTATGCATGATGATGGCGACCATAATCCTGCTCTTTTCCTTCGTCTCCTTTGACACAATGCGTCAGATTATCGGTAAANNACAACCATGGCGTTGGCGATAATTGGTGGGACAGTGGCCGTGTGTGTCGTTCTTTCATTTGTTCACATATGGCAGGCTGTGATCATATATAGGTAATTCCGATTTGAATCCAGTCACAATCGAACTTACTCGTAAACAACAACAAAATAAGCCAATATGTAAACACTTTGGATAGTAAAACTATGCCTGAACCCAGTGGATCAGCGTATGGTTTGAATTTATCGGCAGTACGAGGTGTTTTCAATTCTCCTTCATTCCGAAGGTTCTTGCTGCTCTTCTGCTTACCGTAGTTCATCGGTCAAGTCGTACCTTTTGAAGCAACTTCAGCTTTCACTAATTGCACTTGAGTAATTTTAGTAGCCTCGGATTATCAGCACAAGGTCGATGGCAAGAGGGCCTCCTCACATTAACTGTTTTCCAAATACTTTTTTGTGAGGATCGAGTAATATCCCTCAACAAATCACTATGTTGAGCCGGGTATTGATGAATGTTACACTTGGGGATTGCATGAAATCCTTTACGATTCGCAAAACTCGTGACACTCGAAGACCTGCTGCTGAATATACGAAACCACCAAAAGCTCGCCTCCTAGGGGCTAACATCCGTCATCAAAGAATTGGGTGATGCTTATTAAACTACTTGACTGCTGCCCAAATCTTCAAAATATTCTATAGCGGGGAAATAGGGAGAGGTTTTGTGAGTATCTGGGCGAAGTTCAGATTATTCTCACCTTATATCCAATGATATCAAGTGTTCCATAGTGATAATCGCTTGTGAGCGAGCTCATCCGCCTAAACGGTGGAATCCTGGCTTCTGAAGTAAGCAATCACCCCAAAACGTTGGGCAATTGAAAACAGTAAAAGATTTGGCCTCTCAAAACAAACAAATATCACCTATGGTGAACCACTGGTTACAATTTATTTCTTTTTTCCTTGAGCCATTTCTCATCACCCATATCGTGCCTCTCTCAGCATGTGAATGCGTCCAGTCAAGGGCGGCTGTTTCCAGCTTTTCGTATTTATTCGACACCTGCAGGCCCCTTGTTGGCAATCTATTGACTCTATTGACTCTCATACCGTCGAGGGAACGCCCTCAATGGTTTACGTGCAGAATTAGCACCGGAGGGGAGAAACACGAACTGAGTTTTTCTCGAAGCTCAGGGTGCAGGCAAGGGTTTGCCTGGTAAAGAGTCACAGTTACATGTAAGTGCCACCTTTCTCGAGAACGAAGGTGATGCAGTGCCAACTTTCACGCTTATGTAGGATCTGGGGATCGATTTCAGCCAAGGACAAAGAGGTCTTCTATCCCACAGCGATCACTCCGAAATGGGACTGAACGTCAAAAAATCTTAATTCTTTGGCTCCACCCCTTTTGAATTAGCGTTTGTTATTTTTTCCCGTTACTCTGAAGGATTTTTCTCCCATTTGAAGTCATTTTGTGTTACCCGGGGTAAGGTTCCCGTGAAAGCTGTACTACGTAGTGGGCGTGCTCTATGGGGACCAGCTCTGTTCCTGGAATATCATTATGTGAATCTCTATGTACTACGAACCAACCAAAATGGGTTACATCAAGTGATTCCCTGGGGATTTCATGTGCCGTTAGATGACGGGAAGGGCGTCGAGACTATGTCCATCAACATATCCGAAAAATCACAAGTCAAAGTGACCTCCGCTGCCCAAAATATCACAAATTCATTCCCAAAAGATTTTATGGGACCAGTGAGCACTCAGGAATGTATTGAATCATACAAAAACGCCTTTTTTCACCTGTTACTTGCTGCTAACACTTGATCACGAGTTCACGTCTAATCAGAGGCCGAAGTTCTGTCCATAGCTCGCCAAACTTGTGAGACTTTTTGTACTTATTTCCACAACTGAAGATGCATAATAAAAAGCCGTAAAGATTTTTACCAATTGAATAGACTTAAATCATTAACAGAACGAACGGAAAAGTAGAGTATGGAAAATAAAATACTGCCCATAGATTATTTTAGGGAGTATAGCGATGTCATAGAGTTATTCTCTCTTAAAGGCGTAGTTAACGATAAAGGTGATTTTTGCTATTTCCCGCTAAAATGAATCTGTGGACTCAAGAATAGTAGATGGGTGCTGTCGGGCCAAAAAATGGCCCAGACAGGCGTAAGAACTTCGAAATCAGTTTCGCCGATACAGACATTCAGAATGGCCGTGTTATGCCGGCCTCATTCTTATGGCACTATTCACAGGACGTGACGAATAGTACGCCCAAATGAAAGACACGCAGACGGCGATCTCGTACAACCACTTTTCTTGCTTTCTTGGAGTCTTGTATTTTTTTTTAAATCCAACAATTTTTGTGCTTTCTTCGCCGCTCTTGGACTATTGTGCACCATGGCTTCTATTATTTCACTTGGAATAACTACCTCAAAATTGTTGTGAACTATACCTTTTGAGCTGAAAAAATAAGCAAAAGTAATCGAATTCACATCGAAAACCGAAGAGAATCATTGGTTCTTGATTACTGTATAACCCAGGAGGGCGCACTGGTCCGGAGCGGTTGAAAAAACGCTTGAAAATTCGATTGAACAGACCAGGATTTCATTTTTACGTTTTTCAGGTGCCTGGAATACTACGAAGCCGAATACAGCAGTTTGGACGATCTATTCTCACGTGGTGATCCTACACTGTTGGAATCACGGTTTGAAGGTACTGACAGCTGCCATTCGAGACCTATCGACAGCCAGTACCACTGATGGTTGACATTGAGTACTTAAGAAGTTTCCTGTATGCAATAATAATGTAATTTTTCACAAAAGGGTAATATATGTTTATCTCGTCAATCCACGGGTTCTTTGTGCCACTGCCTCTTAGTTTTTGTTTAGAAACTCAAAATTGCAGATGTTATTATTATTATTTGTAGAGGTGATTTTCTTCAGCAATAAACTTGCTAGCCAATTGTTCATCTCAGATAGGTGATTTACAGCACACATACAATGCCAGCACTAGAACTACCTGGTGGCTACAAAGTAAAGCCCTGCAGTATGTTGAAGTTATTTTTCCAAGGGAGCGATATCCAGTTAATTTTTACAACAAAAAATATTGCTGGAGTTGCTCGCTCACAAAGAAGCCTACTCTAGCGCAGCAGCCATCTAACCATTTCTCGCATGGCTCCAACGTTGCCCAGGCATTTACAAAGTTCTTGCCATAATCAGGACCATCCGTCTCGGCCAGTAAGCGCTGTTGAGGTTATTCTTATAAGACTCAATACAAAAAATAATTATCAAAATCAAAAAGCGTCGATCACTCGCGACGACACGGGCCCATCAATGGAGAGTCTCGTCTCAATAAGCTGCCGAGTTCGTACCCTGTTTCCCACGGTCGCGGCTCCGCACGCGGCCGCGGCAATAATATAGGCAATGAAACATAAACTTTATTGAATCCCTGATGGTTGAGTTTGGTCGAAGATTTGTCTTGCACGCAATCAAACCTGGGTCCTTTCCCGGCCCTTTATTCTTTCAAGCTCCTTTCATGCTTCCTTCAAAAAACTTCAAAACAGCCCGCAGTGCGTTATTGTTGAGTGAATCTGACGCTTTAAACAGCATCAGACACACTTGAAGCAGCATCAGACTGTAAGATCCATTGGTCTCGTTGGTTAAATGGCTAGATGTGTTTTATACAAAATGCTGAAATTGGTGGTTGAAGTCTAAAATGAGTAAACCTCACATGCAGCTATTTAGTTGTCGCATAAGTATTTCGTGGTTCTTTAAAAGCTTCAGTAATGAAAGTTTCTCAAAAAATGACGGGAACAAGAGATCTGACCGTAAGCGGCTTGTAACATCACTGCAAAACGGTAGTTCCGCATAGAATACGAACCAAATCGATGATCTTTCCAAAATCTCCTGTACCTGGAGGGACTCTCAGTTTCCCATTCATAGTAATGGCATGCCTCATCACTGCGGTCTTTTTTTAAGCCAACAACATTTTATCATGATGATCTGATGAAAAACCCATAAATTCAGCGATTTCACCAAACGTAAGTGCCATAAAGAGATAAACGCCCTAAATAGACTGGCCCGATAAGGTTGCCGTCAGCGAAAAGAGGTGCTGATCACAGACATGCCGGTCTATTCATAGCTAATCTGTTTAAACTTCATTATTTACTTGTTCGTTGCTTTTAGTACGTGGTTATTTCTTGAAATACGTTCGAACTCAAAGCCGCTCTTGATCTTTGTGGCTTTATCCGAATCATGGAGCAACGTCCGAGCTCTTCCACGGGAAGCATTTACAGTTTTTAGAAAAGCCTCGAAAAGATATAAAACCCAAATCCATTTTTCATCCGTTCCGCAGCAAAGTTCAGCCCCATTTCAGCATGCATTTAACATCCGTTCCACCATTTTGGAGGCACTTCAGAACCGATCACTTCGTTTGACTACTCCGTTACTTATCGATTTTGTTTCTTTTACCTTTTTCATGATCCCCAAAACGAAAATAAACCCTGAGGAGAAAGCTCACAGTAAAACACACCAGAACAATTTTTACTGTAGAATAGAACAGACCACATGCCCATTCAGCATAACTTTAA